CTAGATATCCTTATTAAATAGAAGTGACATAAAGTGAGACGGCGCGAGAGAGGCGCGCAATGCCGCGTCCTCAATTTCGGAGCAAATTTTTTAATTCTCATATAATATATTTTATATAATACTGGAAGGAATTTGGAAGAGAATATAGAAGGAATTAGAAGAAGATGAATTGAATGAGGTATAGAAATAGAAACGAAGAGTGAGTACAGATTAAATTAAAAATAACCCATATATTCCATAGAATAAGAAGGAAGAGGAAGAATGGATTGGTTTCATACCATACTATATCCGTTAATACAGAGATCTTCTCCAATACTGGCCCTTAATTTGAATTTGTATACTATGAACCTTCTGCATTAGTTCCGTTAGAGGGTCGTTATGGCATCCCCTGAGCACATTACTAATTGCGAGCAGCAAGAAGCAAGATTTAAAAAAAATAATTGAGAATAAATAAATAAATGATTATGGCTAACCCTTCCCATCCCTGTTCTAATATTATTTCCATATAATCTCTTTCTGCTCCTTTGGTTAATTTAAGTCTAATTTATGCGCATGTAATTAAGAAACATACATAAGATGCGATACAGGACAAGATAAACAAGAAAATGCTAATTACTGGACTAAAAATAGACATTTCACCAAATAACCTATACATTTCGGAACCACAGATTATGAAAGGAAAGATAAAATGAAGCTTTCATTTGTGTTTTATATTTTTATTTTTATTTTTTTTATTTGACTTTAATGAAAACACACTCCTCAAACAGATAAGATCATAAAATTGAGGTAAAAAAATATTGCTATAACTATTCACACATATATATGACTCCACATCAAAACTTTACTACTAGTTTATACATTTACTTAATATATCTCTCTCACCATCAACCCCAACCTCATAGCAATCTCAAAAGTAGATACTGATATACCCTTATACCCTCTTTACCTTCATACAACTCACATCCTTTAATCTCTAATACTACTTACTTCCACATCAACTCATCACTCTCAAACATTTCCTATTTCAATAAATAATCTAAAACCTCACCAATACAATAAATAAATAAACTAAAAATAACTAAAATAATCACTAATCTAAAAAAAATAAAAATTTACATAACCTTAACCCTCCCTCCCAACCCTACACCCCTCTCTCTCTCATTCTCTCTTTCTCTCTCTTACTTACTCTCTCTCTTCCTTCTTCATCCCCCACTTCTCTTTCTCCTCCCTTTTACTTCCCTCTCCTCCATTCCCTCCCCCTCTCCCTCCCTTCCCCTCTCTCTCTTTACCTCCGTCTCCTATCTATCCCTCCCTCTCCTCATTTCCTCCTTCCAGTAATTCATTCCCTTACCCTTCTCTCCTCTCTCTCTCTTCCATCCCTTTCCATTCCCCCCCCCTCTCTCTTCTTACTCTTCTTCTCTCAATCCCTCCCTCCAATTCCCCCCTCTCTCTCCCTCTTATCTCTTCTCCATTCCTTCCGCCCCCCCTCTCTCTCTCCTTACCATATTTCCTTTACTCCCTCCCTCCTACCTTTCCCCTCCTCTCTGTCCTCCTCCCCCCTCTCTTTTCCCAACCCCTCAAATCTCTTCCGCACCTCCCCCAATTCAGCCCTCCCTCCTCTACTTCTCCCTCCCTCTCTCCTTCCCTCTCCTTCCCTCCCTCCCCTCTCTCTCTGCCCCCTCCTCTCCTCCCCCTCTGCTCTCTCTCCTATCCCTCTCCTCACCCTCTCCCTCTTTCATCCTGTAGCTTTCCTACATCTCTCTCTCTCATTCCTCTCTTCTCTCTTCTCCCTCCTCTCATTATCCCCACTGCTCCTTACTTCTCTCTCTTCTCCCTCTCCCCCCCCCTCCTCTCTCTCTCCTCCACTTCCCTACTCCTCTCCCTCTCCCTTACTCTTCCTCTCTTGCCTCCCCCCCCTAACCTCTCTCACTCTCCTTTCCCTCTTCTCTCCCATCCCCCTCTCTCTCTCTCTCCATCCCGTGCTCCACCAGCCAAAAACAAGTCACTGGCATTAAAGAGGCCTCACACAACAGCCTTCTCTCCCCTCGAATATCGACCTCACCTCATGGACATAAAAATAAATTGATATAAATAACCATGAATTTGGTGGATTAAATGACAAAAATCAAATATAGATAAAAGTAAATAAATAAAGAAGTAAAGTAATCAAATAATGAATAAATAAAGAATTATAGCAAAGCAAAATAAAAGAAAAAACAAAAGACAATCAACGAGGGAGTTAATACAAGCAAATCCAAAGAAGAGAAATTCACATAGAAAATAAATAGATAAATAAACAAAAATTGCCAACACGATCCCCACCACAACCACCTGTAGGCAAAGTAGCAACAAGCGTCTACATTTTCGTTCTTATGCCCCCGGACGCAAGGTCTATTATAAGTACTTACTGATACTTATACAGACTTCGCCCCGATGCCTGCACAGCATACGTAATAACGAAAAAAAAAGAAAAAAAATAGTTTTCACTAAATTGTAGCATTGAGCGAAGTTTTTCTTATTTTTATTATTTAACGTGCTGGTATTACTACTTATGAGGGGAAATTAAGGTCGATCTGACTTGGTTTTACTACTTATAAACACGCGTATAAGTGTGCTATTTATAAGGTTGCCTTTTCTCATTTTCGCTTTGTCCTCTCCTTTTTCATTTTTATTTGATTTTCTTTGGCCTTCTTTGGTCTCTCTTTCTCCTTTCTTTTTTCTTGTTTTTAATTTGATTTCCTTTGGTCTTTCTTCTTTATTCTCCTTTTCTCTTTTCTTTCTTCTTGTTTTTTATTTGATTTTCTTTGGTCTCTCTTTCTCCTTTCTTTCTTCTTGTTTTTTATTTGATTTCCTTTGGTCTTCTTTATTCTTCCTTTCTCCTTTCTTTTTTCTCGTTTTTTTATTTTATTTTCTTGCCCTCTCTTTCTCCTTTCTTTCTTCTTCTTTTTTTATTTGATTTCCTTTTGGTCTTCTTTTATTCTTCCTTTCTCTTTCTTTCTTCTTTTCTTATTTGATTTTCTTAGGTCTCTCTTTCTCCTTTCTTTCTTCTTCTGCCTTCGTTGCCATGATCTCTCCTCCGCTCTTAATGATTTGCACAACTCAGAGGGCATTTAAAAACTTTTCCGATAAAACATAATTATTCCTGTTTATTTCATATTCCTTCTCCTCA